ACACCTCGTTCTTCTCAGCCCCCACAGATAAGTTCAAATAGAAATGGAAAAACAGAGATGAGAAATGGCACAGAAAGCATCTAAGCAAAGAGACATTGACACTTTCCTTCCTTGGAAGATCCTTTCCTTCTCCCTCCCAGGAGACAATATCTGATTAGTGGTTTTTTAATAAAAAAGCTAACTATAATTTGTCTTCTTGAACTCTCTGATTGGGGACTAGAGAACTCTTACCCAGAGAGGCCACGTTCCTATGGTTTTCAAGCATGACTTCCGAATGCAGCGCTTTCTGGTCAGGATCCAGCAGAGACCATTCCTCCTCAGAGAAAGACACAGCCACCTCCTCGAAGGACACAAGACTCCCCTGAACACGGAAAAAAGAACAGAACAGGAGGATTCGCAAGATCTGTTCATCTTCATCAATGATTTAGACAAGGGGATAGAAGGGGAACTCATCAAATTTGCAGACTAGACCAAATTGACAGGAATAAAAACACTCAGGATACAGAAGGATCAACAGATTGGGCCCCATCTAAAAAAATGAAATCGACAGTGAGAAATGTAAGGGTTTACATTTAGGAAAGAAAAACCAAATGGACTGGCACAGAAGAGGTGACATCTGGCTCAACAGTAGTAAGGGCAACATGTATCTTGGAGTCCTAATGGACAACCACTTTAACAGGAGTCAACAGTAGGCTACAGTTGCCGAAAAAACCCCAACAGAATCATAGGCTGCATTAAGAGGGACAGAATCAAGATGACATGAAGTGTTAGTAACACTTTTAAAGGCCTTGGGAAGACCACACTTGGAATATTGCATCCAGGTTTGGTTGACAGATATAAAAAAGGTCTTGAGACTCTAGAAAGAGTGCAGAGAAGACCAACAAAAATTATTAGTGGACTGGAGGCTAAGACATATAAAGAACGGTTGCTGGAATTGGGTAAGTCTGGTTTGATGAAAAGAAGGACTATATGGGGTGACATGATAGCAGTGTTCCAAGAAGCAAAGGATGGAAACGATTCAAGGAGAGAACCAACCTACAAGTAAAGAGGAATTTCCTGACAGTGAGAAAAATTAATCAGTGGAATGACGTCTCTCCAGAAATTGTGGGTGCTCCAACACTGGAGGGATTTAAGAAGAAATTGGGCAGCCATTCATCTGAAATGTTATAGGGCTCCCAGTCTGAGCAGAGGGTTGGACTAGAAGACCTCCAAGATCCCTACCAACTCTGTTATTCTGTTCCATTGTTCCCAAAGCAAAGATAAGTTAAATGGCTGTGCATCACACAAGTCCTAATATTAGGTGAGAAAATGGGCAAATCTGAAAATTGCTTTCACCGAAGAAATATCTGGGGAAGTTTTATCAAGTTCATTGGTTCTGCAAAACCTTCAGTGCCTTTCAGCAAAGTAACCCCACTTCTGGATCACCTGATCTATCGCTCTGTCTATCATTGATTGATCTAGTAGTCTGAGCCATTGGCTGAAAGGAAGAAAACAAGGAAGAGAAAATTACAGGTTATAAACGAGGCTTTATAAAAATGGTAATGTGGCAATGTGAATATTTAGTTATTTTTCATTAGCCTTGAAGAGTTCAGAATCAAAGAATTACTCCAAAAACAGGGTCTGTAGCAGTTACTTTCACTGTGATACGTTTACTCTTGAAGGACTTTTTAAAAATTGCTTCTTATAAACTCAAAGTTGGAGGAGTACCTAGGAGAACAAGATAACCAGAGGAAGTTATGCTGGTTGACAGGAACTTTGAACCTGCTATTCTGCTCTGCATGTTGTGGAAGAACACAAAAATAATCCAGCCCAAACAAGGGAAAATCGAAGGAGGGATCCCTCTGCACTCCCCCTTCACTTCCTGAAGGGAGAATAGAAATCTAAAATCTTTCTTACTTCATTTGGAGGTTCAACTGCTGTTTGATCTCCATCGTAAAAACCAGAAAGTTTCATTCTTTGTTTCTCTGTAAGGAATAAATAGTTTCAACATGGATAATTAACAAAATAGGAGGAGGTATTGTATAGAAGAGAAGAGAGAGTGAGGTAAGACATGAGAAATCGGAGGATCTTCCATTACCTTCTGAGGTGTCCCTCCTGAAAAATAGCTTCTGAGGGGGATTTGATGGGTTCTTCTTTCCCTCAGGATCTCTGATCTTTACATTGCAGCACTTCAAATAGGAGGAAGGAAAAAAGAAGCAGAATTAATAAAAGTCACACGACACAAAGTGAGTTCTTATATTTGGAACATAACCTCAAAGCCCCCAATATCCATCCGTGAGGTTGAATGAGAAACAAGGGAACAATGTCCTACAAGAATTGGTGAATTGCCACATATGATGAACGCCAGAGAAGTTTGGGAAGGAGGGGTGAAGTATTCAACCACATTCTCTATTCTCTTCTGAGCTCCCTGAAGTCTCTCACCTGCAACTCGACCTGCTCCTTCTGCTCCTCCGCCTGGCTCAGGAGGAAGCCTTCCGCCAGGGCCACCGCCTGGGAGCTGGTCTCTGCTCCACACTCCCGCACCCAGCCCTCCATCTCTGGGGGCAGAAGGAACAGGAGCTGCTCCAGAACCACCAGGTCCAGCATCTGGGCTTTGGTGTGCTTTTCTGGTCTCAGCCATCGCCTGCAAAAACCATGGAGTCGGCTGCAAAGTCCTCGGGGACCCTCAGCCTCCTGGTATTGGATGAAATTCCAGGGATGAACTTGTGAAGGGCGGATGGTTTCCTCCTCCAGGATCTCCTGCCCGGTTCTTGTCCAGAGCTTCGCCCCCTTCCCAGGCTGAGCAGCTGAAGGGCCTTTTCCGGCTCCCTCCTTTGCAAAAGGTTGTGTCTCCATCCTTTCTCTGTCCTGCAGAGCAACTGTAAATGGCTCCAAGGACTCTGGTGGGTCTCCAGATGCCTTTTCCTTCACGGGACCATTTCTGGGGCTGCAGGACTGATCCCTGCAAGGGATTCCGCTCTTTTTCTTCTTCCCCCAAGAGGAAAGTTTGCCTTGCAAAGACCACAAATGGCTTCCAGTTTCCAATTCCAACAATTGCCAAGAATTAAACTCTCCCGCTGCAGGACTGATCCCTGCAAAGGGAAGAAAAAGAAACGTTAAGAATTAGACTCTCCGCCTCCTCCGGGGCTCCAGGGCTTAAGGAGAGCGAATGCAAACTCCTAGAGAGGCAAGGCTCCAGTGGGCCATTGGGGAAGTGCCTGGAGTCACCTTCCCTTGGCAGAGGGCGCCCCCTGGTGGATTTGGGGCAAAGCGCCAGGATTATAGAAAGGGCGGGAAAGAGGAGCGCATTGGAGGGGGAAGGGAGAGGGCGGGGAGGATGGGCTTGGGAGTAGGAGGAAGAAAGGCCCTTCTCCATGGCTCCCTGCCAGACAAAGGCTTCGACCTCTGTGGTTGTTTTCCCCCTTTTGTATCAACCCAAATGCATGGAAGGAGGTTTTCGCCTTTCTTCTGTTGCGTTTCTAGAGCTGTTGGTTATTTCTTATATATAATCGAAGTCCATTTCTACCCCTTTCATTCAGTCTGCTTCTTATTTATGGAAGGGAAGGGAAGGGAAGGGAAGGGAAGGGAAGGGAAGGGAAGGGAAGGGAAGGGAAGGGAAGGGAAGGGAAGAGAAGAGAAGAGAAGAGAAGAGAAGAGAAGAGAAGAGAAGAGAAGAGAAGAGAAGAGAAGAGAAAAAATAAAATAAATATTCTTTCTGGCAGCCGCTGAGATATCAGAAGATGCCATCATGTCTGCCCTCCTCCTTCTTTTCATCAGGCTAGAAAATACCCAGTTCCAGGAACCAAGTTTTTTAAATATGTTTTTGCCTCCATCTTTGTTGCTTTTCTCTGCACTCTTTCTAGAGTCTCAAGATCTTATTTATTATAGAAAACACAAAGAAAAATAGAAATAGGAAATTAAGGAAAGGAGAAAAAGAGGGGGAAAGAAAGTTTGAGGTACAAGGAAAAAAAGGAAAAAAAGACATTGACTTCTTTTTAGCACAGTGCAAGGGAAAAAAAAAACAATTATTCCAACCTGACAATTCCGTCTAATGGACAAAAGCAAAGTCGTTTTAGGTCTGTTTCCTTTGAACACTTTAAATGTGAAGATATTCAATTTAATGGCTGGAGAAGGTTAAGTGCACAATGGTCTCAAAGACCCCGTTGGCTGAGGGGATCTGCGCTCTGATTGGTTGCTGCGGGTGGAAAGGGGGCTTTTCCCTGTTTTCCCGCCTTTTCCTCCTGGGCGCTGTTTGAGATTTACCTCAGGATGTTCCTGACTGTCTTCTCTGCTGCAGTTACAGAAAAGAGATCACACCAGCTCTGTCTTCTCTGCTTTGAATCATTCATTCATTCATTCATTCATTCATTCATTCATTCATTCATTCATTCATTTATTTATTTATTTATTTATTTATTTATATTTTTATACCGCCCTTCTCCCGAAGGACTCAGGGTGGTGAACAGCCATGATAAAACAATATACAAAATAGAAATTTAAAAAACATATTAAAGTAATTAAATCACAGACCGAATTTAAAACTCTCATTTAAAACCAATTTTAAAATCCCATTAACAGGGTCTTCACTGCACGACGAAAGGCACGAAGGTTGTGGATCCTTCGTATGTCTGGGGGCAATTCATTCAAAAGGGCAGGGGCCCCCACAGAGAAGGCTCTCCCCCTGGGGGTCGCCGGTCTACATTGTTTGGCTGACGGCACCCTGAGGAGGCCCTCTCTGTGTGAGTGTACCAGTCGGTGGGAGGCAATCGGTGGCAGAATGCGGTCTTGTAGATAGCCAGGTCCTAAGCCATGGAGCGCTTTAAAGGTGGTGACCAACACCTTGAAGCGCACCAGGAAGACCACCAGGAGCCCGTGCAGCTTGCGCAAGAGAGGTGTTACACGTGAGCGATGGGTCGCCCCCATTATTACTTGCGCAGCCTGTTAAGGATATTGTTGTTGTGTTAGCAACCAGCAGAGTATAGTACACAGAGAAACATTGCTGAGAGCAATGAAATAAGAGATACGTGCAAACTGGTTTATTAAAAGTTTACTTTATAGTGAAAAACAGTCTCGTAGTCATTTAATCAATCCAAGTCTTTGCCAGTTAAATCAGTCCAGCAATACAAAAAGCTTCTTACCACACAAACAGTAGTTGGTTACAATAACATGTACACTCTGGTTCACAAACCACAATGGTAGCAGATCCACCCAACGATGATAGCACAATGCTAACATATCATCAACTGAATACATTACAGTACCTTTCTTAAATACGTTTACAACTAATTACAGCATGACTCAGCATTACAATGATGCAGCATTAAAACTTAAAGTCACAGAACACATATATTGCCTGGACAGCCTCTTAGGCTCAAACCATATCCCAACACGGCCGCATTCTGGACCAGTTGGAGGAGATAGTGATGGTGGGCTTGGCTGGAGGGAAGGAAGGAAGAGGAGGCATATGAGAAGCACAGGAGGACCCAGAACGGAACACCAAGTTGGTGACTTCAGATGCCACATGGGACTGACTGACCATGCAGAGCCATGCCAAGATCCTTGCTGAGGGGGGGATTTGGGGGAATGCAGAGGGAGACCCCCCAGACCAGGCTCTGCCTGCAGCTGACCAGCCTCCTTCCAGGTGGGAGGGGTCCGAGTCCCAGATCGCAGCTTGGCCGGGATGGGGGTGGTAGGCAGGGGTGGGTTCTTCTTACCTTTACTACCGGTTTGCAACGGAGCCGCACGTGCTCGCTTCGCTCGCGCTCTCTTTTGCACAGGCGCAAAAGCATTTTGGTGACATTGGGGTCAGTGGGTGGAGCCTCCCACCAGTTTTACTACCAGTTCTATAGAACCGGTGCAAACCGGGGTCAACCCACCACTGGTGGCAGGGAGTGTGGAAGGGATTGGGGGGGATCTTGGAGAAAGGGAAGGTGGGGGCAGATGGAGGTTGAGATCAGGCAGATCCCAGGATCACCACACAGCCTTGGACTGGATCCCTCTTGATCTCCTCCTTCACTAAATCCTCTAACTGGCACAATACTTAGATTAATGGGAGGGTCTGGTTGAGCCCCAGTGGTGGGTTGCTCTTGGTTCTCACCGGTTCGCAAGAACCGGTAGTAAAAATTTGTAGTAGTTCGGAGAACCGGTAATAACATTGGCTGGCCATGCCCCCAAACCGGTTCCTGGCCCGGTCGCTGCTCGCTTACCCCGCCCACCTCATCAGAGGCTGTAGGAAAAAAAATGCCTTTAAAAGCCTCTGGCAATCCCAGCTGAGTTGCCTGATCGTCAGAGGCTTCTAAAAGTATTTTTTTCTGCAACCTCTTAAGGTTGTAGAAAAAATGCTTTTAAAAGTTGAAAAAAATTGTTAATTCTTTTTTTGGGGGGGATTTTTTTTTTCTCAAACATAAGACATAAATCTTTCAAGAACGAAGTCTTGGTCTGGTCACAGATAAGTAGACTGATTTTACAAATAAAAACAAATATTTTTAACATAAATTCTGACATCCTAATTTAAGTCTTTCTATTATATTGCCATAAATCTTAATTTGCTACTAAATATTGCTCATTTTTATATTCAATTATAAATCAAAATTCAATACAGCTCTTTCTAAATTTTTCTCCATTACTGCTTTTAACATCCACATTAAAACACAAAAATGATCTAATCTCTTAATCTATATATTTACCTTACAATTTTATCACCACAAATCTTAATTTCCAAATGTATACAACTCAATTTTTATTTCAATTTATTAATCAAAATTCTTTCTATTCTTCTTGGTTTCTAGTTAGTGGCTAGTTAGCAGCATTGGTTGCCCCCCCCACACACAGATGCATCTGTTTATGGTGCTGGGGTGGGGGTGTGTGGCACTGGTGCCAGTGCTGGCGTCTGCCGCAGAATACTGCAATGGTAGTTTGCTGAGGGTGAAGAGAAGAAGCTGAGGTGAGGAGGCCTGGACTTATAGATCGGCAGAGGTGGAGATGTTACCCTCCTCTGGGGATACTGTTTCCCCCCTCCCTCTCCCCGCCTTCCCCCACTCCTTACGGGGGGAGGGGTTTACGAATTACTACACTCTGGACACTTTAGACCCCTTACCATGTTCCACTCACGCCCTCGCTGGTAGGAGAGACTGAGCACCATTTGAGAGAGCTGAGGGATTCTCTATATCCCAACGGAGAGGACAGAACATTGTTCCCGATAACTTTCTGTAACGGGACCGGACGTCGTGAGAGGATGGTTGGCTATTAGCCTCCGTTGGAGAAAAAGAACATTGGACCTTCTCCCTGTCGTGAGAGGACAGTGGAGTCCAGCCCTATAAATGGATATTTTGTGACCTTTTATGCTCAGTTATCCCTTTGGACTGTGATAGACTCCCGGACTGGCCTTCCTTTTCCCATCTTTGGTTCGGTTGATGCTCCAAAAAGCCGACCTTCTCGCGCTGCGAGACTCCCCTCTCTCGCAGGCCGGGCCCTCCACATTATCGAGGGCCTATCTTGATGACAGGCTTTGGGACCCCGAGAGATGGCATGCAGCGACGAGGGGGTTGAGGGGTTTTTTAACTAAATTTTTAAGGAAAATTTTAAGGGGACCCGGGAGGGAGGGAGGGGGTTGTAAAAGTGGACCTGGGGGGGTCCAGATAGCGACTGAGCGGGATGATGGGTCGATTAGCTGCAGCAGAGGGGTCGCGAAAGGAAATTTAACCGGGGAGCAGGGGGACGACAGGAAGGGCTGTGTAATTGAAATAATGAGTGGGAGGGGCAGATATGACGGGCGCAGGGGGTCATATCAAGTGTCGGGGGTGCGCACGTGCTGTCTCCGAGCGATTGCGCACTCCGGCCCCCAATGCGTGACTCGTGTTCTGGGCTGTGCAGAGTCTCAGGCCCAGGGTCCGCGGCTGATGTTGTGTAATGCCAGGTCAGTGGTTAATAAAGCCCCCCTCATCTGTGATCTTATTTTAGAGGGGGGTGCGGACCTGGCAGGTATTACGGAGACCTGGTTGGGCCAAGAGGGGGGGTCCCCCTCGTTGAGATGTGCCCACCAGGTTTCCGTGCATTTCATCAGCCAAGGGCCGAGGGGAGGGGTGGGGGAGTGGCGGTGATTATTAGGGAAAGTCTTTGTCCGAGGGAGACCACTGTTCCTCAGATAGCCGGATGTGAGTCCCTTTGTGTGAAGTGGGGCCGTGGGGTTGTACAGTGCCCTGAGTCCTTCGGGAGAAGGGCGATATAGAAATAAAATTATATTATTATTATTATTATTATTATTATTATTATTATTATTATTATTATTATTATTATTATTATTATAGACCCATTTCATCCAATCTTTGAATTTTGAACTTTTACACAGACATCTCAAAATTTTTCATTTCATTTTAGTTGTCATCCAACATTTTCTTTTTCACCCCTTATTAATAATTGTTCTCCAATGTATTCTCCTCTATACCTCCAACTGTTGTTTTGCTGATTTCCAGCATAATTTATTTTGGCTGATTTTCAGCATTCTCCTCCATAACTGCAACTATTATTTGGCTGATTTCCAGCATTACTTATTTTGGCTGAGTTTTCAGCATATTCTCCTCCATAACTCCAACTATTATTTGGCTGATTTCCAGCGTTTTCCAGTGTTTTGGCTGATTTCCAGCATGCTTTATTTTGGCTGATATCCAGCATATACACCTCCTTTCTCCCAACAATTATTAAGCTGATTTACCAGCATCATTTATTTTAGCTGATTTCCAGCTTATTCTCCTCCACATCTTTTATTTAGCTGATAACCAGCATATCTTATTTTAAGTATTTCCTTTTCAATATGTTTATCTATTAATCCACTATTTCCAAATATACTCTTCCAGGGTGTTTCCCCATCTGGTACTAGTCATTTCCAACATATGTTAAATTAAATCTCAATTGTTACTTCAATTTTTGCACCTTATTGTATCATCTGTAATCATTAACAGTTAATCATAGTTATCCTTCACCACTTTGTTGACAAATTAAAACTAAAACATGTTACATCAAATTATGCTTTTATAAAAATATCACTTTTAATCACCTTAACTTCCAACTTCTATTTTAGTTATCTTCTTTTATTTTCTATCTTTATTACACCATAGGCACCTCTTGTTTTTATTTAAAACTCATTTAACCATTTAAACAACTAGACATTTAAACATTGCCTTTTAATTTTATCTATTTTATTTCTTCAGTTCCTTATCTCTCCATAAGTATTTCAATTCATAGTCAATACTTCCATGCTTAAAACTCTGTATATCATTTTTAATTCTGTTGTAAAGTCTGTTCCCTGTAAAGTCCATCAGCTTCCCCGCTTTTATTCCTGCGCCAGACCTTTTGTTGCTACGCCAATAAACAAATAAAAGTGTATTAGTTCCTTTGTATTTCTTCTTTCTTTGTAAAACCATCAGTAGACAGAATAGAAATCTCCAAAATTCAAAGGTCCATAGTTATTTTCAAAGTAATCCAAAATAAATAGCTAATCAAAATGGTTCTTTTTCAGGAGGGAGCAAATTTCTACACTTGGTCACAGGTTCAATCGCCATTTTGAAGCAATTATGTTGCTATCTGTTTGATCTCTTTGTCTGCCTTTTAAAGGTGCCAAGTCCTTAATTATCGCTTTTCTCTTTTCCAAATCAGAAACAGATCAGATCTGTTTCAATTTAACAAAAGAAATTCAAATATCCAGTTCTAATTAGTTAATAGTTAATTAGTCAGTTCATTCCAATCAATCAGTGCTGAAATAGATTTCTCAAAGGGTCTTTAACTCCTTTCATTACTTTACAAAATCTTCAAGCCCCACAGATCTTCAGCCACTAGTTAAGGCTGGGGGTCCTATTTGTAAACGTAAATACACAATCGTTGTTTCTCGCCTGGGTTGGTGTCATTCACCCAGCTTCAAAGCACATCGTCCTTTCTTCCTTCCTCCTGCTCATTTCTTGTCCCGGTTTGTCCCGCCTTTGTGGCAGCCGCCGTTGCTGCCGTCCCCTGCCGCCAACTCAGAGGGTTTCCTCTGGCCTCCGAGCAACTTGCCTGTTCCTCTTGGCCGCCCAAGGGATCCCTCTCTTTCACCTGTCCCTACAAGACAGGATCGGTCCGCAGACCTGTCGGCGGTGGTTTGCCAGTTGGGGTTTTCGTGGGGCTCATCAGAGACTGCTATTTCCCAGACTGCATCACCGCAACACCAAACCAGAAGTCCAATAATTGTTAATTCTATAATGCTGAAGAACATTCAATTTGTTATTTGTAATTTGAAGCAGAGCTCTAATATGGTTGCCACTGAAAGAACAACATTTCAGGTGTGGGTTGTTCTTGTTTTTTTCATAATAAACCCATTTGCATCCGGGAACATTAAAAATCTTTGTGGAATAGCTAAAAAAAAGGCAGCGGCTTTACAAAGTGAAAATTGTGAGTGAGCATGAAATGCAAATTGTGCATAAGAAAAAATATTTCAGCAAGAAAATGGATGGAGCATTTTAAATAAGTGGAAATTGAACAGTTTCAAATTTGGCATTGTATTGAAAACATCTTGAACTCATATAGATTACTTTTAATAGTTGATTCAGCCTTTCATACTTCTAAGGTCGCTAAAATGAGGACCCAGATTGCTGGGGACAATACGCTGACTTTGTAAACTGCTCAGAGATAAAGTGGTAAAACATTGTGGAGTAGTATATAAATCTAAGTGGAATCGCTATTGCTATATAATTTCTCCTGAGCGAGGATCCTTCTATGAGAAATAAGAGGACCATTCTGAGCAAAGCACTTTCCACATTCCATGCATTTAAATGGCTTCTCTCCTGTGTGGCTCTTTTTGTGGCTTATAAATCCACTGCCATGAGTAAACATCTTTCCACACTCCAAGCACTTATACGGCTTCTCCCCTGTGTGGATCCTCTTATGGGAAATAAGATTACCTCTTAGAGCAAAGGTCTTTCCACATTCCGTGCATTTAAATGGTTTCTCTCCTGAGTGCAGCTTTTTGTGTCTTGTAAGTCGATAGTTCTGAGCAAAACTCTTTCCACACTCCATGCATTTATATGGCTTCTCTCCTGTGTGGATCATCTTATGGGAAATAAGATAACGTCTTTCAGCAAAGCTCTTACCACATTCCATGCACTTAAATGGCTTCTCTCCTGAGTGGATCTTTTTGTGGCTTATAAGTCCACTGCCATGAGTAAACGTCTTTCCACACTCCATGCATTTATATGGCTTTTCTCCTGTGTGAATCCTCTTATGGGAAATAAGATTACCTCTTAGAGCAAAGATCTTTCCACATTCCGTGCATTTAAATGGTTTCTCCCCTGAGTGGAGCTTTTTGTGTCTTGTAAGTCGATAGTTCTGAGCAAAACTCTTTCCACACTCCATGCATTTATACGGCTTCTCCCCTGTGTGGATCATCTTATGGGAAATAAGATAACGTCTTTCAGCAAAGCACTTACCACATTCCATGCACTTAAATGGCTTCTCTCCTGAGTGGATCTTTTTGTGTCTTGTAAGTCCAGTGCTCTGAGTAAACGTCTTTCCACACTCCGTGCATTTATACGGCTTCTCCCCTGTGTGGATGATCTTATGGGAAATAAAATTACCTCTTAGAGCAAAGGTCTTTCCACATTCCATGCATTTAAATGGTTTCTCTCCTGAGTGGAGCTTTTTGTGTTTTATAAGTCCAGTGCTCTGAGTAAACGTCTTTCCACACTCCATGCATGTATACGGCTTCTCTCCTGTGTGAATCATTTTATGGGAAATAAGATAACGTCTTTCAGCAAAGGTCTTTCCACACTCCATGCATTTATATGGCTTCTCCCCTGAGTGGAGCTTTTTGTGGCTTATAAGTCCACTGCCACGAGTAAACGTCTTTCCACACTCCATGCATTTATATGGCTTCTCTCCTGTGTGAATCATCTTATGGGAAATAAGATTACGTCTTTCAGCAAAGGTCTTTCCACACTCCATGCATTTATATGGCTTCTCTCCTGTGTGAATCATCTTATGGGAAATAAGATAACGTCTTTCAGCAAAGGTCTTTCCACACTCCATGCATTTATATGGCTTCTCTCCTGTGTGAATCATCTTATGGGAAATAAGATAACGTCTTTCAGCAAAGGTCTTTCCACATTCCATGCATTTATATGGCTTCTCCCCTGAGTGGAGCTTTTTGTGTCTTGTAAGTCGATAGTTCTGAGCAAAACTCTTTCCACACTCCATGCATTTATATGGCTCTCTTCCCTGTGTGGATTCTTTTATGGGAAATAAGACTAGTTCTATGAGCAAAGGTCTTTCTACATTCCGTGCATTTATACAGCTTCTCCCCTGTGTGGATCATCTTATGGGAAATAAGACTACTTCTATAAGCAAAGTTCTTTCCACACTCCGTGCATTTATACGGCTTCTCCCCTGTGTGGATCATCTTATGGGAAGTAAGTGTACTGCTTTGAGCAAATGTCTTTCCACATTCCGTGCATTTAAATGGCTTTTCTCCTGAGTGGATCCTTTTATGGATAGTAAGTTGCCTGCTTGTCCTAAAACATTTTCCACATTCCAAACATTTATAAGGCTTCTCTTTTGTGTCAATCGCTTTTGGAGAAGTAAGGAAGTTATTTCCAAGAGAAACAATGAATGTCCCATTGTAATTTTGTCCGTTGTGGCTTCTTATAGCATCTTCTCCTTTGTTTTGGGTTAAATAGTGTTCATTTACTTGTACTTTAGCTTTGATTAGCTTCACACTTTTCCCAACATATTTTTTCCTTATTCTCTCTTGTTGGGCAAGAAAGTCTTGCATCGGAGCATCAGTGGAAGATGAGCTTTCCTGATTCCAATTCTTTGACTGATTTCTCTCATGGCTTCCTAGTTCCATTCGAATTCCAAACTTCTCCCTTCCATCTTTAGCATTGATCAGTTGGAACAGTTCACAGGAATCTTGATTCTCCTGCCCATTATTACCTCCGAAGCAAAAGGGAAATGAAAATGATAACAAGGTTAGAGAAAAAGATCAAAGAGTAGAAACTCAAGTGAATTTCCTTCTGAATTTCTCCGAAATTCCATTAGGTTGTATGTTTGCATGCTTACAGGGGTGTGATATAGACATGATGATTTCTATATTCATAAGTCATGAAAGCTTTGAAGATGTTTAGAAAACATCTCTTACTTTACAATTATCTATGGTATATATATGTAAACCTCACTCAGTTTTGAGTTAAGGAATAGAATGGAATAACAGAGTTGGAAGGGACCTTGGAGGTCTTCCAGTCGAACCCCCTGCTTAGGCAGGAAACTCTACACCACTTCAGACAAATGGTTATCCATCATCTTCTTAAAAACTTCCAGTGTTGGAGCATTCACAATTTCTAGAGGCAGGTTGTTCCACTGATTAATCGTTTTAACTGTCAGGAAATTTCTCCTTAGTTCTAAGTTGCTTCTCTCCTTGATTAGCTTCCACCCATTGCTTCTTGTTCTGCCTTCAGGTGCTTTGGAGAATAGTTTGACTCCCTCTTCTTTGTGGCAGCCCCTGAGATATTGGAACATTGCTATCATGTCACCCCTAGTCTCAGGCTACTAATCTCACGTCATCTCGCATTGCAGTACTTTAGGCCTGTGTTCGTTTAAGAACTGAGAAGTGCACGAGATTCAGGACAAAAGTCTTTGAAAACGAAGAGGCCTTCCCTCCCTTTGCAAAGCATTTTGCCCTGGATCTCGTGCAGGCCTTGGTTAGCAGAGAAAAGAGGCCTAAAGCACTGTAGTGTGAGATCACATGAGATCTTTTCTGTAAGATTTCCCACTACTGATCTTGCGTATCTCTCTCTACTTTAGGCCTCATTTTTCTGCAAAGGCACCGAAGTAGACAAAGGAACCAACGGCTCGCCACATCGTCGCAAGGTACCATATTTTTTGGACCATAAGACGCACCTAGGTTTAGAGAAGCAAAACAAGAGTCCCTGGTGTCCAGAAGCACTCTGCGTTTTTGGTCTCCCAAACCCTCTGCGAGGAGGACAAAAACGGGATCCGCAGAGGCCAAGACAAGGCCTGTTTTTGCCCTTCAGGGTGCTTCTGGACACCAGGGAGGGCAAAAAAGGGACACACAGATGGCTTGGGAGGCCAAAACCAGGTACGCATTCGCTCTCTAAGACTCAGACATTTCCATCTACTTTTTTGGGGGAGTGGGGGGAAGTGCATTTTATAGTCTCAAAAATACAGTAAGTCCCTGCGGGGTGGGGGAATAGGTACAGTGAAGGTTGCAGCGTCTCTGCTGTTATTCAAAAGTGTGAACGATGTCCGTGGTGTGGCAACGCTCATCATTTTGGGGCTCAAGTACTTCGTGGAGGGCTGGTCGTAACTTGGAACGGTCACTTAATGAACTGCCGTAACTCGGGGATTACCTATACCCTAGGATGCTCTGACTGACATTGCATGAGGCCTTTGTTCTTGAATTGGATTGGGAGAATGCTCTTCCATGGGCTGAGTGTGAAAGTTCTGTTCTCACACAATTTTGGAGGTTTCAGAGGACAAATGACAACACACTCCTCTCACATGACCTCCAGAGGACACATAAAAGCACACTTTGTTCTTTTCAGCCTCCACAGATAAATTCAAATAGAAATGGAAAAACAGAGATGAGAAATGACACAGAAAGCATCTAAGCAAAGAGACATTGACTCTTTCCTTCCTTGGAGCACGAGAAGATCCTTTCCTTCTCCCTCCCAGGAGACGATATCTGATTAGTGGTTTTTTAATAAAAAAGCTAACTATAATCTGTCTTCTTGAACTCTCTGATTGGGGACTAGAGAACTCTTACCCAGAGAGGCCACGTTCCTATGGTTTTCAAGCATGACTTCCGAATGCAGCGCTTTCTGGTCAGGATCCAGCTGAGACCATTCCTCCTCAGAGAAAGACACAGCCACCTCCTCGAAGGACACAAGACTCTCCTGAACACGGAAAAAAGAACAGAACAGGAGGATTCGCAAGATCTGTTCATCTTCATCAATGATTTAGACAAGAGGATAGAAGGGGAACTCATCAAATTTGCAGACTAGACCAAATTGACAGGAATAAAAACACTCAGGATACAGAAGGATCAACAGATTGGGCCCCATCTAAAAAAATGAAATCGACAGTGAGAAATGTAAGGGTTTACATTTAGGAAAGAAAAACCAAATGGACTGGCACAGAAGAGGTGACATCTGGCTCAACAGTAGTAAGGGCAACATGTATCTTGGAGTCCTAATGGACAACCACTTTAACAGGAGTCAACAGTAGGCTACAGTTGCCGAAAAAACCCCAACAGAATCATAGGCTGCATTAAGAGGGACAGAATCAAGATGACATGAAGTGTTAGTAACACTTTTAAAGGCCTTGGGAAGACCACACTTGGAATATTGCACCCAGGTTTGGTTGCCAGATGTAAAAAAGATATTGAGACTCTAGAAAGAGTACAGAGAAGAGCAACAAAAATTATTAGTGGACTGGAGGCTAAAACATATAAAGAACGGTTGCTGGAATTGGGTAAGTCTGGTTTGATGAAAAGAAGGACTATATGGGGTGACATGATAGCAGTGTTCCAAGAAGCAAAGGATGGAAACGATTCAAGGAGAGAACCAACCTACAAGTAAAGAGGAATTTCCTGACAGTGAGAAAAATTAATCAGTGGAATGACGTCTCTCCAGAAATTGTGGGTGCTCCAACACTGGAGGGATTTAAGAAGAAATTGGGCAGCCATTCATCTGAAATGTTATAGGGCTCCCAGTCTGAGCAGAGGGTTGGACTAGAAGACCTCCAAGATCCCTACCAACTCTGTTATTCTGTTCCATTGTTCCCAAAGCAAAGATAAGTTAAATGGCTGTGCATCACACAAGTCCTAATATTAGGTGAGAAAATGGGCAAATCTGAAAATTGCTTTCACCGAAGAAATATCTGGGGAAGTTTTATCAAGTTCATTGGTTCTGCAAAACCTTCAGTGCCTTTCAGCAAAGTAACCCCACTTCTGGATCACCTGATCTATCGCTCTGTCTATCATTGATTGATCTAGTAGTCTGAGCCATTGGCTGAAAGGAAGAAAACAAGGAAGAGAAAATTACAGGTTATAAACGAGGCTTTATAAAAATGGTAATGTGGCAATGTGAATATTTAGTTATTTTTCATTAGCCTTGAAGAGTTCAGAATCAAAGAATTACTCCAAAAACAGGGTCTGTAGCAGTTACTTTCACTGTGATACGTTTACTCTTGAAGGACTTTTTAAAAATTGCTTCTTATAAACTCAAAGTTGGAGGAGTACCTAGGAGAACAAGATAACCAGAGGAAGTTATGCTGGTTGACAGGAACTTTGAACCTGCTATTCTGCTCTGCATGTTGTGGAAGAACACAAAAATAATCCAGCCCAAACAAGGGAAAATCGAAGGAGGGATCCCTCTGCACTCCCCCTTCACTTCCTGAAGGGAGAATAGAAATCTAAAATCTTTCTTACTTCATTTGGAGGTTCAACTGCTGTTTGATCTCCATCGTAAAAACCAGAAAGCTTCATTCTTTGTTTCTCTGTAAAGAATAAATAGTTTCAACATGGATAATTAACAAAATAGGAGGAGGTATTGTATAGAAGAGAAGAGAGAGTGAGGTAAGACATGAGAAATCGGAGGATCTTCCATTACCTTCTGAGGTGTCCCTCCTGAAAAATAGCTTCTGAGGGGGATTTGATGGGTTCTTCTTTCCCTCAGGATCTCTGATCTTTACATTGCAGCACTTCAAATAGGAGGAAGGAAAAAAGAAGCAGAATTAATAAAAGTCACACGACACAAAGTGAGTTCTTATATTTGGAACATAACCTCAAAGCCCCCAATATCCATCCGTGAGGTTGAATGAGAAACAAGGGAACAATGTCCTACAAGAATTGGTGAATTGCCACATATGATGAACGCCAGAGAAGTTTGGGAAGGAGGGGTGAAGTATTCAAACACTTCTCTATTTCCTTCTGAGCTCCCTAAAGTCTCTCACCTGCTGCTGGACCTGCTCCTTCTGCTCCTCCGCCTGGCTCAGGAGGAAGCCTTCCGCCAAGGCAACCGCCTGGGAACTGGTCTCTGCTCCACACTCCTGCACCCAGCTCTCCATCTCTGGGGGCAGAAGGAACAGGAGCTGCTCCAGAACCACCTGGTCCAGCATCTGGGCTTTGGTGTTCTTCTCTGGTCTCAGCCATCGCCTGCAAAAGCCATGGAGTCGGCTGCAAAGTCCTCGGGGACCCTCAGCCTCCACGTATTGGATAGAGGTCCAGGGCGGAACTTGTGAAGGAAGGATGGTTTCCTCCTCCAGGATCTC